TAGTTGTGATAGAGCTGACTTACTGTACGTCTCATAATAAACAGCTAATTTTTTTCATTGACCTTTTGAGGAGCTGATTGACTGACACTTTATTGTAATCCTAATATTGTTCCATAATAACATTTCCATACACTTAAAGAGCCCAAACAAACAGAGGTGTACCTTACATTCACTCTGTGCACAGGAGATCAATCATGGTGTGTTGCCGTGCTGTTGAAGGGACATTTTTCAATTTAACCTTTATATTATGTGTTGACTACATCAGACTCAGGTTTCAACACACTTAACATGAGTGGCATTTAATATAGCATAACACTTGCAAGGTGAGGCCGAGATGTGACCCTATTTAAATACAGGCCTTTGCCTAAACCAGGCCCCCCCCCCCCCCCGGTAAACAGCGTTCTGCGCCCACAGCCCTAACTCAATTCTAATTAAACACACCTTATGCTCCTTTGCAAATGGCCCACATCCATTCAGCTTTTTAACATTCATATGCGGACTGCCCCCAGCAAACGTCGCCAGCGCACCGGCATTTATGGATCAGCAACTTTCCATTAACAAAGTTGTTGATGTTGAATAGTGCACTGTGTCGCCATGACGCCGTGGATATATTTGGGTAAATTAACTTAGCATAAAGTGCTCCAAGGCTACAGGGGTATTTTGAGGCAGCTAAAGAGAATGCAAGCTACCAGTCAGGCCCGAAAAGTCAATGCACACACTGTAACATCAATGCGTATGTGCAAACCACAAGCACAAATGTTGAGGAGGGCCACCAGTGTTTAGAAAATACACTCATGTTCATTTCACTTGGAATAACAGGGACCATGAATCCTTTTAAATAAGTGTCAATGCCCAACTGGCTCATGCACTGTGAGTATGAGGGGGTTCAAGGTCAGGTCATTCAAGTCTGATTTTATACAAACCAATTTTTGAAAGATAATAATTAATTAGTTTGATTTAGGCAGTTGCAGAAACAGCTTCACCCTACACTGTGGCTACCACTGATGTGGTTTGGGCTCAAACCACCACTGGATCAGAGTGACTGACCCTTCACATGGCAGCTTTGTGGTTTGGGGGGACACCACTGGTGAAGAGCTGTAAAAAAACAAAACAAACTTGGCAACACAAGATGTAATTAGACCTAGTTAAGCAGAATTGTGTACTATTTTACTTTGAAAAATGTGCAGAGGAAGCACATTTGTGGATGGGAAAGACGTCTGTGCTATTCTTCTCTCAACTGATTTAAGCAAGTCTTTTCTCATGCATCTGATGATCTGAAAGTGAGGGAGAGCTGAAATGTTACTTGGTTCAAATCCTTCAACTGAATAGACCTACCTGTCTTTCTACAACTCCAGTGAACTGACCTGTGAAAAAACAGAAAAAGTTAAAAAAATAAAATAAAATTGAACTCTCAAGACTTAATTTTAAGTATTATTAATTAAGTATTTGTATTAAGTATTAACAATGAAATGTGTCCATATTATTCTCAATATGTGGCCTGCCAAAATAGATTTAGAAGGCTATTGATATAAAACAATGACATAAAAGAGTAGGCATATCAGACAACCTGTAATAGGCATTTTTAAACTTGTAATGACATTGTAACAAGTTAAAGTCTGATTAAAAAAACTTCCCGTCTCTTATGTTGTGTGGTAGGGGCAGCTTACCTGAGAATGCTAACTGTAACTCTGCTAAATTAGCAGCTCAAGGCAAAAACACAGCAAAAATGGAAAACTATTGAAGTGCAACGTTAATAAAGGATAAACACAAAAAGGTAATTTAGTTTGGTATAATGGAAATTAAGGTAAATAAAAGTGTAGTGTTATAATAAGGCTGTAATTTCTCCTATTAGCTGCTTCCTTGAGCTCTGGCTGTAGTTTAGCATGTCTGAGGGCCTAGCTCCAGGCACAGGTCTGTGCCACAGGTCTATGGTCTGTGCACAGCAGCCCGGGGCCCGACAGCCCGGGGCCCGACACACACACGTCTCTACAGCCGCGGCCCTTTGACATTTACGGCCGTGTTCAGGCTCAGAGCTGCGGGACGAGTCACCGTGAAGGCCACGAGGGGCTGGGACTTGAAATGGCTGGAAGTGTGTAATAATGAGAAAATCAACACAGCATGTCAATCAATGGTACTAGTGAATGTTTACATTAGCACAGGGGCTCTGCACTGGTAGGCCTGTTCAGTCTTGGGTGTATCCATTCAAAAAATGGGGGATGTTTTGAATGACTGCAGGTCACATGGAAAGTTTCAGTTTAAAAAAAAAAAGTCTGTAGTGAATGCTCCAGTCCGGAGAACTAGGCCTATTTCAAACAGGCCAACAGCATTATGAAGCCAGTGAAATCCTGCAGTTGATGAATGGCATTTTTGCAATGAGTCAAGAGACAATTTTCTTAGAAAACTCTGTACTTGACTGGTAAATCCACACTTTTGTACATGTTTTAGTTGTAGGAAAACCGGAATAGGCCTAGTCAGAGGAAACCTACGGAGACACAGGAAGAACATGCAAACTCCACACAGAGTTCCCACGACACCCTGCAGTCTGAGGTATACCATAGGAGGTGAGTATAACCCTAGGAAAAAAAAATGAAAAAAAAATCACCCAAACCTTTTATTTCGGTTATTTTGCTTTACTAGAGTCAGTAAGACAGATGTCCTCAGGCTGGGACTGTTTTGATCTCTAAGTAAATCATTTAAAGGTTTTCTCATGTAACATGTTCATACTTTCTGATTATTATTGGTTAATTGAATCCATTGAAACATTAACAACATTTTATATTGATTTATTTCACAGGGAACACAAACTATTCTGTGTAAAGTGATAAAATATATTTACAATATTGATACATAATACACATTTTTCAAAGAATGAAAAAACAAACAAACAATAAATCTCCATAGTGTAATAGCTCTGTTGAAAATGGCTTAGGTCTGTGTTGCAAAGCAGAGACATTGCACTCTTGGCTGTACATGCAATGCAACTACAATGCACCACAGCTCCAGCCTCCAGCTTCATGTATGGTCCACAGTCTTTCTTTCTTGTGTGATTTTAAAGCGTTTATCTCCTCTTCTTTTCCTTCTTGTAGAACCTTTGACAGATCTCTCAAGGATGAACCACAAGGGGGCACTGTTTGTAGTTTGTATTGATGTAAAAGGTAAATACACAAAATTATAAAACTACAAAGAAAACCAACAACAATGAAACAACAGGATGTAAATATGAACAGGGTATGCAGCATTATATGCTAGATTTAGATAAATAGGTTTTAAGCTTTTGCTGCAGTTAGGATGATACAATTAATGTAAATGTAAAGTTAAAAATTGACATTATAGTGATTGTATTTGCTTTGTTGTTACAGAGGTTGGCCTCTTCAGCAACAACCCCTTATTTAAGGCAAGAAGCGATACAGTTAATGTTTTCAAATCATTTCAAAGAAACATTGAGTACATCCAGGTACAAAGCTACACAATATAAAGCCCATTTACCTTTTAACGGTTTCCAGTATCCTCCTATACCCTTGTTTTGCCGTTGGAAAAGGGCAGAATAGTGAAGTTCTCACTGATCTGCAGCAGCACATGTGGCAACAAATGGTGGTCTGCAGCAGTGGGAGCCTGCAGTTTACAGTGGAACACACCCCTCTTCTGTTTGACCGGGAAAATGCTCCAGTGACTGAGGCAGAATGTGAGGGGCCATGTTTTGGGATGAGGCGATCCCAGACAGCCAATGGGGAGGCCCCCACGGAGGGGCCCAGGGCCTCTATGAATGGCGTGCAGAGCCAAAGGTAAAAGGAGGGGGTTTACTACAGGTCACCTCCGCCTATTATGATCAGAGGAACGGCCAGGAGAATATGCAAAGGAGGAAGGCATGACTTCAAGTACAGAACAGAGCTACCATACTCTTTCAATTAAAATCAGTACAAAATATACTTTATTTTGATAAACAAAAGAATTATGGGTAATGGCTGTTTAATGTATGTTGTAAAGTAATTAGCTGGAATATGTTAATAATTTTGACCTCGTAAAATCAAAAACAACACACAAGCCGTATCACACACTGCTAATGTTTTATTAGAGTTCATGCATAAGTCAAACAACACAAAGAGAAATGAAGTGGAAAAGCAGCAGTCACACAGCGCAGCCTCCACTGGGCAGGTCTCTTCATACAGTGTAGTCCAGTCTAACAGCCATCTGTGATACAGCATTGAGATTACACCAGACAGTGGCAGAGGAGTTCTGTGAGGAACAAGTCACTGACAGCAGCACACTGAATGAAACCCAGAGTATTACAGTTATCACGACATATGACCGGAGGCCTTTTACGGAAGAGATCACACACACATCGAACACCAAAACAATAAAACAGAATCAGGAATCTCTTGTGCAATGCAGATGCTTTGTCAAAAAGTGAGTTTCATTAGTCGTGTATGGTCAGTCCATACAGGTAGGCGGGTCTGAACTGCTTCTTCATCTGATAGATACTTTGTTCCACTCCTTACAGCTCCAATTTCCTTAAAAATCAGTATAATGTTTACTATAGAGACACTGAAACCAACAGGAACACCTACAAAGCAATAACAAATAAACTACATTAGCCAGCAGCAGCAACGTATCAAAAGAACACTACAACATGACTTATTTCACTCTTCCCTTGACATATATCTATTTTTTTTTACAATAAAAGATTCAAAATACTGAAAAAAGCACAGAATAAATTATTTCTGTATAATTTTCTCAATAATTTCTATCATTTGTGAGTAATTACAACTGGTGTAGCGGATTTACAGTATGGGAAAGGCAAGTGTCAAAAGTGCAATCTTGTTTTAAGCTAGCAGTGATTGTTTTATTATTGTAGGGAGTAAATGTCTTATTTGTAGTGCTGTCTACGCCAAGCTTATTTCTGAAAACAAATGTCATGTTCCAAAAGGTCACGCCTTCCAAGATGTCAGTGTAGGGAAATAAGAGAATCAATGGCAAACGGCTTTCTCTACTGAGTTTGTAGGCTTAACATATCCACGGATGTTATGAATTGTGGGTCAAAAGTAGCTCTATATGTACAACCCAATTACTTATACATATGTCACCTCGCAGCAGCAGAATTTTGGTCCTCAAAAATGAATTTCAAAAAAATCTATTTTAAAACAACTAATTCATATTGTAATTTGTGATTAAATAAAAACAAAATGGTTAATATTCTCCAGCATGCAAAATTAAGACCTGCTTTAAAATCACCTGCAAATCAAATCTCAATTAAATCTCAAATAAATTAACTGCAGCTTATCTACATACATTTAATATGTATAATTAAAAACAAAACAATACATTCCCTTTTTTTTACTTGTTTTGAAATGATTAATGCTCCCTTTCACTATGAGGTACATCCCTTATGTCAAAGCAGCAGGAACATAAGCTTGCTCCAATAAATCAAAAACTCTACATAAATCTTTCATATACATATAACTCATATACTTGGCATTTGCCATTTACAGATGTACAATTATAATAAGGGACTGACAACAACCTAAAGAATCTAAAGGTGGTTATGAATGTCTATCTTGGATGAAGTGTTGATGCATGCTTGGGCGATGAATAAAATAAATATCTGCCATCTAAATATGCCTGTTTTTAGAAAACTCTACTTTTCTAGAATTAGCTGCAACTTGAAGCTCTGCAGTCCGCGACAGGCTGAGCGAGCGTAACTCCACGCCCCAGATACTTCCTCATTGTCGGACACTAATCGTCCAATCGGATTTCATCTTTTGGTGTTTGAATGTAGTGTTAAAAAAGAGGACGTGGGTGTGGTTTAGCGTTGGGTTGGATGATGCTGCTCAGCTGGTCGTAGGCGTGGGGTGAGAGGTCACAGGTCAAAGTCTACATGGCGAACAGCGAGTCTTCGGGCCGGTCTGGTTTCTTGCGGCTGGGGGTGCCTTGCTGTGCGCCCGGTTCTCCACTAGGGGGTGATGGAAGTGTGGGGACCATCTCTGCGGCTTTGGCTCTCTCCTCCAAAAACTTGTCGAATTCTGAAAGGGAACAAAAATGACTGAGCATGTATCACAAAAAAAGCAAATTATCTTTTTAAATAAACTAAACACAATATACTTACCTTCACTTGTCACACCCTCTTCACCCTCATCCCCTTTCTGTAAATATGGCACATTCATAGATTAAATAATGAATCATTCATAACAACATCATATTGTTCATCTTTGATACATTGTTCTTATTTATCTCACTGATGTAAGGCTGTCTGTGGTAGTTGTAATATTGTTATGTGACCCATACAGCACTGTGAGGAATACTGACTAGCTAATATGATTGAATAAATTATTTGAAGAGAACCACCTGCACTTGTACAAGTTTTGTTTAGGCAAATCATTTTATTATTAATCAAGGTATTCTTCTTAGGTTTTTATAAAATGTAAATATTACAAGTGCTTTGAGTGCCTTGAAGGTGGAAAAGCGCAATATAAAAATATGATCATTTACCATTTACCATAAAAAATTGTTCCAGTTCACCTCTTAAACACGTCTTGGGCTGACACATTTTAGCTTTATACTTCTGATGCTGTGCTGCTGGCCAGTACATTTAGCAGAACTTGATGTTCAGCCTAATAGTATTACAGCCAATAAGCTACCACTTACAAGCTTACTTCAAAAGACCCACAAATTTGTTTTTAGTTTTGAGCCAAATTACAAATACAGACTCCAGATCACATTAGAGGTGTAAGTAGTGGTTTTAAGACCTGCACCTTTTCCACTTCCCTGGACTTTTTCTCATTTATAAAAATGTGTATAGAATTTATAACAAAAGGTGAATAAATATTGAAAAACCAAAAGCGGAAAACACACAAAAAAACTGTTCTATAAAAGGCTGCATCTCACAGTGCGCCTCTCAGTTTAATGGATTTTTAAAAGCCTGAGAGAAAGTGATGGCACCTCTGGACTCAAATCCACAACAAAAGGTCAATTTTAGTTTATCTGTTTATTTGTCACAAACACAAGCTTTAGAAATGAGACCTGGGATCATTGTCGATAATTAACCACGTCGGATGCATGCATTCACAACTGTAAATGTCAGTCCACCAAAACTCAAATATTAGTCATTAGAAATATAGTAGAAATAGTGGTGAGTGCAATATAAATAAATAAAAAAGCAGATAATGGTGTGATGAAAAAATAAATTCAAGCAGAAATTAAAAAAAAATGATGGCGGCTCACCACATCCGTACTCAGCCACTCCTCTATGTCATCCATGACAGAGGCCTGGCCCCCGACACCCTAGGGCACCACATGAGGACCGCAAGGGTGGCAACAAAGCCAGGAGACAGGAAAACATAATCCCACAACAAAAACAAAGGAAATCAAAAACACAACTTAAAATAAATGTCAACAACAACTTAAAAGTATAAACTAAAACTTAAATAAAAATGGCTTAACATGGGGATGGAAGAGTGAATGGGAATACGGATAGCAAACAAAGACCGTGATATAATTGAGTCCCTCAGATGAGAAAACAGGCCCTGACGATCAATGTGTCACAGATAAACACACATTTACAAGCTGCAAAATGTTTCAGTGGTTTTGTCGAATGGATAAATCTATGGAGAGTGAAAGATACTATCTCTCTTGAAACCTATTTAGTTTGTTCTATGGCACATCTAAGAAGCATCAAGTGTTTTTTACTAATAAAGACAAAGCTAGGCTTGGGCAATGTAGACCTCACTCAGACAAGTGCAATTATAAAAGGGCTTGTGGCAAAGACTCACCGCTGCAGTGGACTGGAGGACATTCAGGGTTGGAGGAGCACCTGAGCTCTCTGCTCCTGCTGTTGTGCTGTCAAAGAAATTATAAAGTTAGATATTAGATATTAGAAATTAAACAAGTATTTGAAATGGGATCAAGGACTGCAAGATATACCACAATCAATCACAATTTTAATGGACAAAAACTGAATAAAATTTGAAAATAAAATGTACTCCGAAGGGCAATTATACACCCTTGTAGAGTTTTTGTAGAATGATTTGGATATCAATATCATAAAAACTAAATATTATATTAGTAAATGGATTCATACTTCATAAAAAAGATCCCCACTGGCTGAGCCAGGGTATAATCTCAGTTTTAGACCAATTTAAGGAGTTACTTAAGGCAAAAAAGGGTTGGGAGCCACTGGTTTAGACTTTTACAAACATGTTTTGAAATGCATGGGATTCCTGTATTAGTTTGTCAGTTCATATTTCAAATGTGAATTCTCCTGGACCTGTTTAAAATGTGGACTTTGACCTGAATCCTTAATTCCAAATCTAATTGCAATCACAAATCTTTTTGGAAAAAAATAAAATAAAATCACAATTACATACTGTTTCCACAATTGTTCAGCTCTAATTGGGATAGCCATGAAGAATGTTTTTTCTTTCCTTCTGTGAGTATTGTCACTTTGACCTTAGTAGATCAAATCAGATGGGAATTAAAGTGCACCTACGTTTTGAGTGGTTCAGGCACAGTCCCGGTCCTGGTCTGTGCAAACACGTCAAAGTCGTCCTGTGCTGGAGCAGGTTTGCTGCTGGACAAAGAGCTCAAGGTGCTGCTCACACTGTCTGCCCCCATGTCTGTCAAAACACCAGAAAACATAAGGCTGCATGAAAAAGGATTCTATGGAACTAGCCTTGAAGAGATCCTCAAACCTTTTCACCATAAGAGAAAACAGATCTGGCATACCACACTCATTTTCCATTCATTTAAATGCATCCCACTCCCACTATGTAATTTCTTACCTAGGCCAGCCAGACGAGAAGACAGCGTAGCCGGAGAGGAGGGCATGTTACTGACCACAGCGGGAGACCCAGGACCCAGGTCTATCAGGTTGTCCTCTGTGGCCTCACTCAGAACCTGAACAAAACCGTCAACACTTAATCTGAGACACAAGAGATAATCTATGTCTAAAAGCAAGTCATAGGCAGAAAAAGCAAAGGGAATGCTGGGTTAGACTGGATGAAGCCTTACTATGAACTACAGTGAAATTTTGAAAAGATTACAAGGAGCATGTCATTGGAAATAAACAGGGAGACAAATCAACTTTCTTATGGGGATTGTTAATAAAATCTTGCCAAAATTGTGCTTCAATACTCGCCATTATCCCCTAAAGAAAGTGAAACTACAGCAGGAACAGAAAGGGGTTAACTGGGCTTTCAAAGGGCCAAGCTGTCATTACTACTTTGCATATTTGTGACTGACAAACTATAAATGCCATATGACAGTTAATCTGCCCATATTTGAACTCAGCTGTCAGTGCACCTTCATGTTCACGGTTATCATTGACTGACTGAGGGCTGCACTGTCAAAACATGCCATATGGGAGGAAAGGACTCTGGTGTAGATGGAGCCCATATTATTTAGCCATGTTTCAACTGTTGCCGAGGGTGACAGCGGTCAGCTAGGTAGCCTTGGTGCGGTTTATTCATACTTGCCTGTCTCAGCTAGCCAAGGTTAGAGAACGGAAAAGAGCAGAAAGGGACACACAGTGAACACATTAGCATGCCTGTGCAGGAACTGAAAAACGCAGTGGCATGGTAACTATGGAACTTTAACATGCTTAATTAGACAGAAAGCCAGCAGCCACTGAAGCACAGTCAACCTCTCAAGACAAACTGGGGCACGGTTAATTCAAAGTGGTGCTTCAAGACCTTTAATAATATTATTCTCTGTATGATATTTTCACAATATACAACTCATGCTAACATATTTACTTCGTGGAATCTACCAAAACTGAATATGCTATTTTTTCCACAAAAATGCCTTGACAAAACTTAATCCAAATAACTAGGACTTAAAACTCTTCATGTAGTCTACACTGAAATGGAACAAAGGATCATGGTCTAGGTCATCTCTTTTTCTTTTTAGCTATTGCTCCACCATAACTATTAAATTAAGTGAAGAGACATGTAATTCGATATATTGTGATGGTCCACGATTATTATTATTATTGTGAGACCTTTGACGGTACAATGACAATATTTCAGTTTTTGTTACATCCTTTATGCTGAAAAGATAAATTTCTGTAAACAAGATCTGTATGTTTTTATGTTATAATAAGTAACAATTTAGAGCCACAAGATGTCACAAACTAAACAAAAAGTGCAAATAACAATAACAGTACTCAACAAATATGGCTATGTGTACTGGATGCTAAACATGGTTCTGCCTTCACGTACTTCTGCCATACAAATCATAAGATAGAACAAACAAAATATTTTCTCAATTAAAATTAAAAAGTAAGATAATTCCTGCCAATTAGTTAACTAAATAAAAAGGGTGCATGGCAAAGGTCTCTAAACAATTTCAATTTCTATATGTACCCGACTTAAAACGGCACTCACAGGACTATACCTGCACAAGACTTCATGCAAAACTACTACTAATGCAGAAAAGTACTAGGAAACAATGTCTGTTTAAAGACTTGTGAATCATGAGTTTAATCTGCCTTTTTACTTAGAAATACCAAAAATACCAAAACTTGACTCACTCCAACTTCTCCTTTCAGCTGTAGTCCCATATATATCCTTATAATATAAATAAACTGATTTGTTAGTGTTTTTTGTTCATTAGTTTCTGACCTAACAATACTCATACAAATATGGCTATGTGCACTGGATACTATACATGGTTCTGATTAATTGATTTCACCTTTACTTCTGCCATACAACAATAAATATTTTTTCAAGTAAAATTTAAACAAAATTAATTTGCAGAAATTATGTTAGTCAACTAAAAAGGGGGTGTGGCAAATCTTAGTATCTTTATGTATCTGATCTAAACTACACTGCGCAACTGCGCAAGACTTCATGCAAAATCAGCTACTGAAGCAGAAAAGTACTAGGAACTCTAATGATGTATGTATAAAGATGGACTTATGAATCATGAGTTTAATCTGCCTTTTTACATATAAGATCAAAAATACCATTCCAACTTCTCCTTTCTGCTGTAGTCCCAGATATATCCTTAATAATATAAATGAACTGGTTGACCAATACACATTTTGGCGACCTAAGAAACCATCATCTGATTAACTGACTATACAACTAAAAGGCCTACACCCCTACATTAGTCACTGTCTTTTTTTTGTAAATACATGCTAAACACATTTTTCCACTCATATTGAAGAGTACAAGTCTGAACTCTGCTATAAACTACACGCTTTTAATGATAAAGAATTGGCTGTGGTCCTCTCACTTAAAAAGATCCAAGCATATCAGTGACAATTAGAAATGACTAAATCTATCTTAATTAAAATTTGACTGATTTCACAGCCCTAATACAACAAACCCGATGTATACTATGGCTTTTGTTTTCTTTAATTAAGCATGTCAACAATGAACACCATGTGAGCACTCAGTACAGTAGTGCCATCTAACAGTTTACACTACTGGAATGTGAGGTGCAATGTGGAGCATGGCTGGATGATTCAGACCAGTCATTTCACGTCGGCACAGCAACAACTGCTGACTCACCCCATTGTTGACGCTCTGTGCTGTGGTCCGGCCAGACCTAAACCTCTCGTACCTGCAGAAAACACAGCATGTACTCAGTTTATTGTCAGGTGCAGTGTATTGGCAGGTGCAATGTATTAGTAGGTGCTTGTGTGATAAACCTCTCAAAGCGCAAAAAGATGTTGTTGAGGTCGTCATTGACATGTAGCAGCTCCTCTGTGACAGACTCGTTGGAAACACAGGAGATGAGCTCCACTATTCTCTGCTGCATCGCTCTGCAAGTCCGGTTCAACTCCTGAAAACAACAAGCAGCAAAGTTTGAGAAATTATCCTTGTCTTAAACCCCTTTAGTTTTTCCAAAGGGATGAAAAACATAAAGGAAAAGCTAAAAAGCCCTTATTTGGAGGATCAGTTTATACACCAAACCCAGATATTTAAAAAACAACTAAACTAAATCTTGTTCTTAGAGATATTGGCTTCTTCAGCTGCAAAATAAAAATGGTGAAGACGGCAGCTTTACTCCTCTTTGTATTTACCAAAACAATCTTAGGAGGATTTGAAATCTGTGTATAGTTCCTTATTATTTGCAATTAGAGTAAATTGGACTACATTGTCAGCCATTTGTTTATCCTCCAAAGGGTTCAAAACAGCTTCAGTATGGGGGTATTTTAGTCAGGTGTAGGAGGAAATTACATAGAATTATAAGAATTGATATAAATACAAAATATTTATAACATTGTGACTTGCCTGTAGTAGTTCGTAGTCAGACGCATCTTCCTGCCCAGGGACCATCTCCGTCAACATCTCAGACATCACCTTAGTGTTTCCACGCACTATATCCAGTTCACTGCGCAGCCTGCAGATCTGACAAATGGAGAACATTTTGAGTTTTTGTTTGAAGTACATCAACTACAACACAGTTTTAAAAGTACACTACCAGTCAAAAGTTTGGACACCATCTTATTCAATGATTTTCTTCATTATTATTACGTTTATATGACCTACAGATGGAAGACATCAATATATGAAACAAAATATATGGAATTCCATACATCTTGCTTCATATTTGACATCTTCTGTATGTATATAAAATGCAGAGAGTAAAATAAAAAGTGAAGAAAAAGAATGAATGAGTGTGTGTCCAAAATTTTGGTAGTGTACATCTTAATGCTTTCAAGTAGCGGTGATATTGTCACAAATTCATATATTCTTTGCATTATATGATAACAATATTAAAACACAATATTTTAACATCATCAGGAATATGCCAAAATGTTTCTCTATATATGCCTTACATCTGCTTACATGTGCATTTAACAAATGATGAGCAATATATTGGCCTTTCAATAAAATACAACTTATAGCATGAAGCTACATTTATACCTCTAACCATAGGAAAGGCAATAAGGATCACTGACACAGAGCCACAGCAACAGACATTGCATGTGGTGTTCTGATTTCTTTTGCATAGCATTTGACTCTATTTTGTTGCTGACGAACTTGTCCCTAGATTGAATGGAAAAATCAAACAAATCAGATACTAAGATCTACAGTTTGTAGATTGCATTGTGTGACTGCAATTACTTATTACTTCAGTAAAAGAAAAGAACAGTATAATAGAATTCCCCATGTATTCAATGAAATGTATACCTGTTCTGGTGTGGGGTTGATGGTTCCAGCAGAGAGGATGTTGGGGACCTGAGCAGTGTTGTAGGCTGGTGGGACAGTGTCAGATGTGGGCTGGGACACTGTGTTGAACTTATGAAGAGTAGAGTCACCCTCTGGAGCTGAAGCTGCCTAAAACCAATCAAAGAAAATAGCTATTAATGTAGGGCAATAATAAGGTTGATTTTATCTAATATTAGTAGATAGCAATACCCTCTGAGGTGTGTGAATAGGGGACAGGGTCTCCATCTCTGAATTGGGGAACTCGATGCCTTTCCTCTTCATCTCCTCATAAATCTGCACCACACCTGTGAGATCGGGACTGCTCCTGAATGCATCTGCCCAGGCCTGGTCAACAAAGAGTTAAAACAGATGTTGCATCTCAGTACAATAAGCAGCATTAAAGTCAGAGCTGCACTGTAAACAAGGCAGAGTGAGCAAGCGTGTTGGCAAAGAGGTTTGCTTTGGTATCATTTCTGTTGCCTCTGAACAATAACAAGCCACAAACAACTAAGCTTTTCTACTGGCTTTTGGATTTTCAATGACTCATTACTAAAAACATATTTTTATCCACATCTCAGTCTTAAATCAAAGTAATTAACATAAAGAGACTTTTAATTGTCCAAAATGTAACCTTTGGAAATGTAATTAAAACGCACACAACATTACCTAAAGCTTTAAGTTTATTTTAAAAGAAATATTTCAAATTTGATAAAACTAAGAAGAAACATCCAATTTACCCAGAGTCACCATCAAACTAAAATATACACTCTTAAATTCAACACATGCAAGTATAAAATGACTACTTCTAGGCAGAGGGATATTCACTCAAAACACTTCAATGTTAGAACAACTTGTCATATTAATGTTTCAATTATAACACTTCCTACTGCTTTTGCCTTATTTATCATCATGCCACTACCTCATCATCACTTTCAAAAAGGACAGGGCAAGACGAGCTGTCCCCCTATAGTTTCCCCAGATGACCTTCTCATCACAAACAAAACACAACTGTGAGGATACTGTCTCCTGAGTCCTCCCCACCTGTCTACTGCTACTCCCACCTGAGCCCATGCTGAGGCCCAGGGAGGGTAATAAGAGCAGCCCTCACAAGTCGGGTGGTTACCTGAGCTCCAACAGGTAACTGGAGCTACTGTGCTATACCTGGGACCCTGCCATAGACTGCACTGTTAACAAACACATCACCGCAGACTTGCCTTCTTTGCTTTTCATCTAATTTCTTTAAAACACTTGGGTCAACCCTTGAGGAATACATGTTGAAAGATAACAAGCTTATCAGATAGATTTTAGAGCTGTTACCTGAATCAGGGCGAGGACCTTATCTTGAACTATTGTGGGTGGATTGTTCTTCGGGGAGATAATCTTTACAAGAACACCATCAACAAAATCCCGGCTTGTGACCAACGCATGGAAACGATGGCCACAGTTCTTCACACATGTCTCCAAAACCTAAAAACAGATAGATTAAACCAAGCAAATATGTGTGTAGGTATGTTACACTCCTCTTGTGTGGACTACAAAAGGACTACTACAATACCCTGCCTTACCGTTAAAGTCAGCATCACTTCTCTGTAGTTCTTGTTGCCATTTAGCCTCTTCTTTACCGCCCTAATAGCATCCTTTGGCCTGCATACATTGAAAAGAAGCAGTCAATAAGCAAAGTATATGATCGAGTTATGAGTTACAAATGAATACAGACTTAAATGACGGTGTGGTGATACAATCAAATCCTACAAGTGTAGCAATATGTTGATTAACTAGAAAGGCGAGGTTTAAAATTTGGCTTAGCTATTGGTTTGAGAAAGACGACAGTGGGGTTCTTGTAACTAAGCAATAATTAACCTGCTAGTGTGAGGTGAATAGAAGGGTACTCATAGCATGGATGTGAACCTAGTTAATAAGACTGCACACTATATTGTAAGTGAGTTGGCACAATTATCAAATCACAAAGGCTGCAATTATTTTGATAAAAGAATGGCTTTTTATAGGAAAAAATCTTGTACCTGTAGTTTAGACTTCTACAAACATGTTTTACAAATCATAGAATTCTTTAATTAGTCTATCAGTTCATATTTTAGTTTTCTCTGAAACATTAGGGCCATTAACAATGTCCAAACAAAGAATACTTTTCAAACATAAATCGCAAATCCAATCACAATTCCATTTATTTCCAAAATCACAAAGCCCTAGTATTGCCAAAAACTGCAATACAGTAAAGTTGTGCCGGTAAGATTTAAGGTAACCTTATCAAAAGCAAGCAAATAGGGAGTGACTAGACTGCCAGCAATGGAGACACAGGTTGTATTTCACATAGCAGCTTAAAACATACAGATCAAGGTTAAAAGACCAATGAGATAAGAAGCAGGGCCTTGCATAAAGCGCACAACCACACACAACCACAGACAACCACGCCTTTCCCATTTGCTGCTATTCAAAAAGGCAAAAGTTCGCGACACCAATGAATTATGTCAATAAGGAACTATTCTCTCCACATGGATACAAAAGAGTTAATGAATTACACACGCGGAAAGAGCTTGGCTTTTCATTGAACATACTACTCACCCGTCCTCTGTTTCGTTTATAATATCACAGATCTCCATGTTAAGGGTCCAGTCTTCACTCTGCAGGGATCCATCTGTAGCTCTTTCTGAAAGACATTTGAGATAACGTTTTAAATGGATTTGCTACTGGGTAAACAGTTACAGTGACAAGCGGAATATAGTGATCTGAGAACACGCAAGGATGTTACAATTAAAATTAGTATAAACATGAAACGTGATGAGTGGTTAACTGTGGTTGGAGTTTAAAATATGTAGAATAAATTATGCTTAGATGGTTTGGCTAACAAGATGACAGAGGATATAACGCAGCTAGCGGCTAGGTGGCTAACGTGGTGGCTTTATTGAACAGGGCGAGCATGAAGCAGCGCTGACCACACAATTATCAATGGCATTTACATCAATTACCTCTGACAGTCACCTGTAAATTGAGCGGATACATACCAATGCAATGTCCAGCCGGAGTACTGAAAGGATTTCCCAAAAGGAACTCCATCTTGGTCGACAACAAACAAGTCAGTCCATGGAATGAAGAAGATACATGAGGAAACGCTCTGCATCGACCCGCCCACCGCGCAATGTGATTGGTCACAAATCTCTGTTCTGTACATTAACTGGTTTGTCACGCTGTCAATCATAATGAGTGTGGCGATTGTAAATAAAAGCCAGGCAAAGGTTGCGTCAATAAACCCATGCGTTTTATGACTGATGCCCTAATTTTAGACATGCGGATGATCACATAGCAACGAATATCTCCTCAATAACAAAGGGGATAAAGTTTGTGTCAGTCACCTCACCTGATTAAAATGGAAAACAAAACATGACAGGTTATAAGTTATTTATTTGTCTTGACTTGTCTTGTCAGTAATTCATGGTATGACGACATTCAATAATAGCATATCCTTATAACCATGAACTTGAACCTACTGGTCCTGTGTCTCATGTTTCAATTATCTGCTTTATTGTATCACAGTTCAGAGTGTAATGTGCACAGAACAGCACATTCTAATACAAAACAATGTGAGTCACTCTTTGAGAACCCGTGCAACATCCAGAACCACAGATGACTGCGAGCTGACAGAGCTCAGTCTGGAGTCACATTTGACAGCTGCCACAAAAACACTGCAGGAGAAGATGGTCAGAGTGAGATGAATGTCGGTCAAAGACACAGAGTAAACATGTTTGGGTCTGGCTGGTCTAGAGATTGAGAAGTCCAGTCACTACTTTTGTGAAAGCTTTACTTTTTAATCTTGTAAAAGTTTGCGCTTAACAGATGAAGTCTCAGAAGACAGCTGGACAAAAAGGGCTCCAGCAGCAGTCCGTGCTCTCAGTTCATACATGTCATAATCGTGGGCCCACTCCACATTCCCCCACTGGCGGATCTAATAACACAGAAAGTGTAAAATAATGAGAAAATATACTGAAAAGATTTTTCTATTATGTGCAATGGTTATATGGGAGTATACCTGAAACTCCTCCTCTAGTCTTGAGAGCAGCACAGCTTTCTCTACAGACAGGTGTCGGTCAATCATAGCGAGAGCCAGCACAACAGACTTCAGCTGAGTGATCACGTACTCAAGGCCTGCATGTTGAAAGAAGACATTATTCAGAATCTACTTTTATAAGATTTTACATTCATTATAATGGTTTTCCCTCATCATTAGCATACTAAAAGTTTTATTTTGAGTGATTCATTTATATTTGAGTAATCCTGTTCTTGTGCATTCAGGCCTCGAGTGTTGCCCATATTTGGGTGTTCTGTTCTGCCAATAAAGGTTTGAGCCAACATGAGGTAACCAATCATTTCCTTTATATTTTTGTTTACTTCATCAAAGGCTTCAGTATGTAATTTTAAGATACATAACATGACAAGCATTTTAGTCAAGTAAACAAAAGTCCACATTTTATACATAGTAGTGTAATAATATGATTACCATATTTTACGGGCTATTAGGCGCTCTGGATTATAAGACGAAGATTATAAGTCATTAAATGGTCTATTTTCGAACTTTTTCACAAATAAACCGCACCGGACTTTAAACGAAACACAACAGTTAGACGGCTCAGTCGGACTTTGTTTGGCGCCTTCACGGTGACTCTGGGCTTTGTTCAGTTGTGGCGTGTCGGGTGGATGCTGTCTGGGACCACTGGATTGTTGGCGTGTTCGCAGTGAGTCAGTTGTTCAGTTGTGGCTCAGAAAGGCACATTGAACTCGCTTTTTCGGTTCGATACGTACCTCGTCTGCGTGGAGTGATAAATGTGGCTGCAGGTGTTTTTCGCTGTGCGGTCACTGTCTGCTGCGTGCGTGTTTGCGTGCGCTGCGGCTTTGTAGTTTACTGAAGTCGTGCTGGGACACCAGAGTGGATTCGTGTATAGGGCGCTCTAGCTTGCGGGGCATGCGGTCATTTTTTGATGGGGTTAGAGGCTTAAGATAGCCCAGAAAATACGGTACAAAAAAGTATGCTTCATGTTGCAAAGGTTATCATCTTATCTTCATTGGAATTCTCTTAGCCACAATATTTTAGAAAAATATGGATTATCGTTGGTCTTAAAGTATTTTTTTTTACCTGTCAGGGACCAAAAGTTGTAAGATTTGAGCTGTTGTCTGAATGTATCTTTAGTTGCTTCAGGAATCTCAGGCCCCAAAATACTGGGGGATGAACCAATAGTGACATTATATCTACAAAAATGCAAAAGCAAAAGACTTTAAGTCACCATGTTAATTGTTGTCTTAACATAACATAATTGTTCAATGTGCTGCACTAGAGCATACCTGTTCTCAATCCAGTGAAGTACAGGGTCCCACTCATTGATCTGAAGATCTACTAAACCGTAAGGCTCTTCAACTCTGTAACTGCAGGATCAACAATGTTAGTATAGCCACAAGCGATACAACAGAGAACAAAAAAAGTACAAAATAAAATATTAATAACTAGAAAAGCACTTAGAAAAGCACTCAGAGAGCGCAGACCTCCGCCAAGGACTACAGTCCCCCTCATATTAATTGTGTTTTCCATAAATATTTGTCTTGTATCTTTCAATTTGGAATATGAAAGAGGATCCGATTGTCCATCCCTGAGTCAAATTTCATGGGGTTTGGTCAATAATTAACCGAGATATTGAGAAACAAAATTTTTGGCCCCATTTACCACAATGTTAACTAAAATTTCAAAGTGATCCAGAATCCAGGATTTCTTCCAGATCACCCCCAAAATGAAATCAGTTCTTCCTTTTCACATTTCCAACAAATCCTGAAAATTTCATCAAAATCCATAACTTTTTGAGTTATGTTGCTAACAGACAAACAAACAGACAAACACCGGCAAAAACATAACCTCCTTGGCGGAGGTAATTATTAAAATGCATTACCATACTGTGTCAGTCTCTAGATACTTAAGTGCAGCTTTGATCATTTGGTCTTCATCACGTTGCGTGGGATTGTCTAAAGCAGTGTTGCATAGGGTTGTCTATAGATGAAAAATATGGTTAAATATTGATTTCACAAAACAAGTCTACTTTAATCAAGTTTTTTTTAGAACAGTGTTGTGTTACCAGGTGCATGGTGTAAAACTTCAGTGTGTCTTGTTGAGCATCCCACTCAGTTGCTACGGCGATAGCCAGGGCTTCATTTGGTGCTGTGAACAACTTTCCTCCAGGAGTTTTCAGTTTCCTTTTGTCCAAATTTATCTCATACAAACCATCTACAAGAGGATTCGGGTTGGTTCGAATGAACAAGAAAACACTTATGCATGATGTACTTCATTGATAAAATGGTCAGGTTTGGTACTTACTATCACTCTGTGATATGCTGACATTTTGATAGAACCGTTTTCTTTCTAATAAACAACAACAACATAACAACTAATGAAACAATCTCGTGAGGGTACAATGTGTTGGGCATGAAAGCATAAGATCTTCAATCGTCGTTGGGATCACTTACCAGGTGCTGTAGAGTACCTCATATAAGATAGAGGCTGCTTGCATGGAAACCTTTTACTATGCAACCAAGCATTCTTAAGCCCGATGTTGAATTGTAGTATATTCCGCAACATTTTGGAAGAAAAGCATTAGGCAGCTAGCCAAAATAATCACAAAAACGTCGTAGATTTACTGTCCATTTAAATCAGCTTCACGTCTACAAAAGACAGCATTGTTAAAACAACAACTATAGCTTTTGTTACAGCATAATATGCTTTGTGATCTATGATGCTTCGCTGTAGCTCGTTGCTCAAAATCACGCATGTGACCTTCCTTCTTTAACAGAAAACTATTAGTTCCAACATTATTGGAAATGTAGTTTTTAGCCGTATTCACATAATGTTCCGAACAGCCCAATAAAACTACACTCAAAACATGACACAGACGTTTCCGCAATTTTAACCAATCATCGCTTTAAGTGTTGAAACGTTGATTCGATTGCCCAATCAGAGGGGTGGATGCTCTGTCCAAAACGCCGCGTCGTACTCTACTTACTTTTCAGGGAGGCTGGTGAGTGGTAAACTAAACAGTGGCGAAATCACGCCGATTTTGGATGTCGTTGGGCCCTATTAGTGTTTTCTACCTTAGTGTAGGCGCCCAGGGAACCACCAGTTCATACGGCTATTGACTGCGGTCAGTGCCCGACCAGCAAAGCGGGAGCCATGCCTGTCCCCGCTGGATACGTAAGCGAGTCCCCCGCTGCGGCCTTCGTATCCTCGGCCTCGCTTATCCCGCCGCCCCCGATCAACACGCAGCAGCCCGGGGTGGTCACGTCGCTGCTGTACAGCGGATCCAAGTTCAGGGGGCACCAAAAGAGCAAAGGAAACTCGTATGACGTGGAAGTAGTTTTACAGGTAAGACAGTGAAGCTATGTTTGTAAAATTCAATCGAGCTGTCAGTGGGCTTTGGCGATCTGTCAAACCACGGTAGTGATTGACAGCTGGAAAATCAATGAGCACTGGCCTGTGCTAGCTACGATTGTGGCTCTGTTTACGACTTTCTGATAGCCTTGTTTTAACAATTAGGGGCTATGCACTCTAAAAGGCGAAAACGCAATTGAATATCCATACACACGCCATAATCAGATGTATACACGCCATGTTTTCTTTGCAAAATCAGGCTCTTCATTTCCACTATATGGAGTAAAAACGTGCAAAGGCAAACGATTGAGTTTAATGGTAACCAAAATTGCATGTGATTATTAATGAAGACTAACTTCTCTCTAGGCCTGTGTATATGCCTGTAACATTCTGCTCTGTTGTTCACATGTAGCATGTGACCATGGAAGATTCCTACTTGTGTGGTTACCTTAAGATCAAGGGCCTGACAGAGGTGAGAGGAGTGATATACACCACAAACATGAATTATTCAGCCCCATACATAGACTACAGTACCAGTACATCACTAACCATATAAGTAATATCCATTTGGAAATGTCATTACTAGTTCATGCATATATCGATATATGTTTTTCCATTAAATGCATGATTTGTCTTATAGGAATACCCCACTTTGACCACATTCTTTGCTGGTGAAATCATAAGCAGAAAGCGCCCCTTCCTTACACGGAAATGGGATGCTGATGAAGACGTTGACCGAAAGCACTGGGTAGGAGCAATCATCTTTACCTTTGATTATTTGGATCACAGTGGCCTCATTTTCTTGTCGTTATTCAGGGCAAGTTCCAAGCTTTCTACCAGTATGCAAAGACATTCAACTCGGATGATTTTGACTATGAGGATCTGAAAAACTCTGACTATATTTTTATGCGATGGAAGGTATTGTCCTCATTTTAACTAGTTTCTGTTTGCTGTGAACTGTCTCTCATGTTTTTCTTCTGGGTACAGGAACAGTTTCTCGTGCCTGACCACACTATTAAAGACATCAGTGGAGCTTCGTTTGCAGGATTTTACTACATTTGCTTCCAGAAATCCACAGCAACAATTGAGGGCTACTACTATCACAGAAGCTCTGAATGGTAACATTCCCATAAGGATATAATTATGTAAAGTGCAACAAGCCTGCAACAAAAGAACAACTTGTATACTAATGCATACATTGTAGACAAAATCATTTAGTGGGTTACCAAATTAACAGTTTCAGGCTAAACAAATAAAACCTTAAACCTTAAAAGTCTAGCCAGGCAAACTTTGGTATAAAATGTCAAGTGACTTCCTTGTCTTGTCATAAGACCTGGGATTTGATTCGTGAAGAGAGAACATCTTAAGCTCTAAGAAACCTTTGCCAAATTTTGAGACCAAATAAGGTTTGTGCCAAGAATTGATTTCTGGGGTTTAAAAAGCCAAGAGTAATTCAAAGGATAAAGTAGGCAGAATTGATTGATTAATGTGGTGTGTGATTACTGGATAGTAATAGCTTGTAGTTGCCATGATCTAAAGAATGAAATGATGTTAATTAATTTTATGCCAGCAACTATTGGAAACAGAATTATTTAACAAAATTTTAGGGCTGTGCAATTAATTAGTAAAATGAATGATTATTTACACCAACTTTGAGTTGAATTCTATGCACAAGTATTTTTCTGTGAGTGAAAAAGTTGTCCAAAGGTTGGAGATTTAATTTGTAGAAATCTATTTTAGGCTAGATACACCTCCTTTCATTTCATGTCAGTTTGTTCACTAAAATTTAAGTATGCTGATGCACTACCCTCTCTGTGCACAAATTATTGTTTAAATAATCATGATTTCAAATATAACAAATGTAACTAGTATTGTTATTTTTCCACAATTGAACATTGAACTTAAAATGTAAAAGTGACCAACATATATCTAAAAATATAACCTTATTACAATGAAATATGACCTGAACTAACATGTTCTTCAAAGGGTCATTATCTCAGAGTAAGCTCCTTTTTGTTAACCCCATTCTCTATGGATCCTACCTCCTCAAAAATGTGGAGTTGAGTTTTGTTTCATTCACACGTTTGACTAACCTTTTGTTATTAGTCTGTCTACATCGCCAAAGCTCAAAATGCTCTGTTCCACCTTGTGGTGTCATCAAGCAGTAGTTTTCAAGTTAATAACTACCTTTTATCTTTAGTTCAGTAGACAGTGGCAATTCCGGGGCTAAAATTATCCAAATGATTCTAGTGAAGGTTTATAGCATTTAAAAACACGGTGAAGCACCAAATGACATCACAAGGTGGAACAGAGTGTTTTCTGTTTGAAAAAAAGAGCCAAATATGCAGGGTCTACATTATAACAGAAATCAGAAAATAGTGTAAAATGGCCCTTTTAAAAGTTGACTTCTTGCATTTGCTTGTTGCAGGTACCAGTCCTTAAACCTCACCCATGTCCCTGAACACAGCGCAGCCATCTACGAGTTCCGGTGACCCTGGTGCACAGTGCTGAGCGTCCCTGTGGGTGGACTGAGACTTGGGGCTGGGCAGGTGTCCGCACATGAAGCTGCTGATGAAACTAGAGAGAACGAACAGAAAGGAGAATTTTGGCTTTAAACAAGTGCAAATAATTTCTCTCGTGTTCGCAAACGACGCTTGGACACAGGCCGGGGGACAGTGAATGAATGTATGCAAGACTGAAGAGAAAGGGAAATGTTGATATCCTTGGAAAGACTAAACAAAAACCAGCGAGCAAAGACTGGGTGCAGTTCGTTTAGTTAACTTTTTTTTTTTAACATGCTTGGCAAATTATTTTAAGACACTTTTTTATAAGCTGGGATGCCCCTTTGCTTGCTTGAAAACTTACAACAAGGATTTGACTGAAAAATCCGCCCCGAGATCAATGTACAGATGTGGCAATGAAAGATTTTTAAGTGCACGATCCAAGTTTTTCAGGTTATCAGATTGGAGCTTTAACTAGCCACTAAGGTAACAGTATTTTTCTAAGCAGGTTATGTCAAGAGAGTGGAATATTTGCTAAAGGAATTTAAAACGATGGTCATTGAGTGGCACTTTGAAAGAATTGACATTGAACATTGAAGTTTTGCTTGGGAGATTTTTATTATGATCATACACATGATTGCTGTGGGTATTTTAAGTTACATTTGCACAAAGATTTTTTAAAAAACGTTTTACCCAGTTACAAAGCTTCAATATGACAACACTTAACAGTATGTGAACCCCAAATTGTAATAATTTGGGGTATTTTAATTTTTACCTTTCTTACCTTTTAACTTATCTGCTATTTTATCATTGTTGACCCTCGACTATGCAACGTTCCCCAGGTAGACTTTGCAGAGAGTAAATTCTATCCCTAGAGTATATCCAGATTGATTTATGGACATTTTTAAAGGAAGTATTTTTGTTAAATCGCCTATTCAAGATCTTCCCTGACACATGCTCCCTTCCCATGTGATGGTGCCATGTTTTTAAAGTCTATCAGAGTTGTATTATACAGTCAAAGTGGAGTGTGACTGTTTGAGGTAAAGATATGGATATGATTGATGGGTGATTGTAAAGAATGGATTATGGAATAAAAAAAAAAATCTGAAGAAAAAAATCCATGTGTAATTCTTAACATGACCTTGGTGTGATGATTGAAAATTAAGATGAGTCATTTAACTTTATGTAACATTCCTCTTGGAGGGTTTGTGGTGCTTGTGTCCGTGAAAATGTAATTGCTTTTCTTGCAATGTTCCATTGTAAAGCATTAATCTTACATTGCATTTATTCAGTCACGGGTATTTTAACTGCTAACTAAATACTTTTGAAAAACATGTATTCTAACTATGACTCACATATCTAACCTTTTCTGATACGTTTAATACATACTATGGAATCTTCTCAGCCAAAGCAATAGCATCCATGGAGACAAGAAGTAGACCCTTCATCAGAGAAGTCACATGGAGCACCTTTTAGCAGACAAACAAGAAGGGATAAAATACTTACAGAGCTAAAGTGATTTTACAGTGCCCTCTGCTGGTTAAAATGGTAAAACATGGCATGTAAGTATTTTAATAATTTAGCTCCAGGACGAAATGTGCTTTTTAAATGAGTATCTTAAGTTCTTTGACATTTTTCTTTGACTTTTTTTTTCTTGACTATCATCGCCTTGACAGTTGACTTAACTGTTAAACCCACTCTAAACTAAGCTGCTTTGACAGCTTCTTACTACTTGTTAAGTACTTTTTTTCATGCAGATAAGGAGGTGGTTTCTGGCTTTGTCTTATATGCTGCACAATATGGAATTAGTCTTTTTCAATAGTTTTAGCACATTTTTTGAAATTTGGTTTAGTTTGATCGTTTGATTCAAACTTGTATCTTCCAACATTTCTCATCAGTTCACACAGTATATATAGTATAGGTAAGTATGATGT